TATTTCATAGAATTGTTTCCTTGTTTCATTTGCCAATTATTGACTTCAACCATTTGCTATGTTTTATTTGTGATATGTGATTAATCATTTAAATCACAAGATATTGTTTCTGATTGTAGATCAAGAACTTTTTTTAACACCAAAGAATAGCAAATATTGTGTCTGATTTGCTATAATTTATAAAACTGGAGTTTTGTGAACACTTCCACTAATAAAGCATCAGTCAACAGCACACTTTTGGATAGATAACCCAATGTTTAGTGTATATCACATCTTTCTCACACAGGGTATGAGCGTATCATAGCAGCCAGCTAGGAAACTTAATCCTTTATCTCAAGCTATAGCAACATATACCCTCAGCTCTGGAGATCTTGGTTCAGTCCCTACTCCCTAATGATGATGATGACTGATACACTGTATTACTGTGATCATATGTAAGTTAGCCTCACAAAAACATCTATTAAACTCTTTTTTAATATTTGGCATGTCTATTGAGAGCAATATTACACTTGTTTATAATCCACATTGGTTTTACTTCTCATGGAGTCATTCTTGATTTGACTGGCACCCTTTAGTCTGGAAACAGTCTAGTATATTACTTTCATTATAATTCTTGACCCTATTAGCAATGCGAAAATGGAACCACTGCACTTTACAAGCTATAGCATATGGTTATAATGTTACTGTGTAATCAAACACATTTGTTGCTGTGTGATGCCATGGATACCCCCTATCTCTTTTATATTTACACTTGGTGTGATAGTTCATTTTATTTATTTAACTAGGGACAGACTCTTTGAGAGACAAATAACATTTGCACTGGTACCTGGCAAGTTAGCCTTTCATGCATGAACTGTAAAATATACACAGCACAAGTACAGCTGGTGCGTTAAAATTCTTTTTTAGAGCTCTGCTCCAACCAAGAGATCTAATGAGCTATGGGAAGGGGAAGGACAAGGATGATCTAAAAACTGGATGCAGATTTTATTTAAATGTGCTTCGCTGCAAACAGGAGCTTGAGCTGGCTTCCTCAAAGTTTAATCCAAGATGAAGAGTGGCCTATGTCAGCTAACTCATGATTGTGAGTCTCAGGCGACAGGGCTGTTTAATTGTTGTGTAGATGTTTGGAGTCAGGATGAAACCTGGACCCTGGGACCCTACCCTGAGCCAGAAAATTTACACCTGAATTAAATAAAATGATTGCCCAACTCCCACAAGCTGAAGTGGATTGACACAAGCCAGTCAGGGTGTTTAACTGATGTGAAAACATACCCTTAACACGCAAATCCATTGAAACCCAGTCATGGATATCAAGGCAAGGAAATTAAGATATAACTCCCATCTAGGCATTGCCATATATGTGCCACTCTATATAAGCAGGATGCGGCTCCTGCATCTAGGCCCAACATGGTGCTGAGATAGCTTTAACACAGCACTTGCTGACAGTCAGAATGTTATATTAATACAGTAGTGTTGAGTACAAAATGAAATGTTTCCATTGTAAAAACAATCATATCGCATCTCCGGGAAGAACAGTGCTACATAAGAAAGTATCCCATGAATAATTTTGAAATAATAACTCCTGAAATAACTATTTCGAAATAAGTTTATTCCTCTTCACAAGCCCTGAAGGCAGAATTGCAGTGCTGAAGGTCTGGAGAGCAAAAAGACTGCTCCTTTCTTTTTCTCCATGGGAGAAATCCGTGTCCCAAAGTGGCTGAGGAAGAGGCAGGGCTAACGCACTGGGTGGTAGAACTGCTCAGTAGCCTGCAAGCTAGTAAATAGCTCCCCCATCATACGGCTAGTAGCACGTGTGCTGACTCTCTATGCCTTCACTGAGTCAAATTGCCCCCTAGTGATCCCCATCAGATTATTCACTCTGCACTACATCTTCCCATGGCTCAATCAAGCCCTCATTGATGTAGTGTCTATGTTTTCTACTGGCAAATTAAAGACAGTATAAAACAAATAGAAGGTTGTCGTATATTGACACTCACAAGACCAGAGTCCTAAAGTGAACAAATTATCCACAAAAAATTCCCTGATGGTTTTGGTTTCAGTGCTGTGACTCAAATGAGGAAGTCTATAGTTCTCTGGTTGGAGTCTGAATGGCAAAAATCAACTCCAAGGCTATGTCTAGACTGGCATGATTTTCCACAAATGCTTTTAACGGAAAAGTTTTTCTGTTAAAAGCATTTGTGGAAAAGAGCGTCTAGATTGGCACGGATGCTTTTGCACAAAAGCACTTTTTGCGGAAAAGCGTCCGTGCCAATATAGACGCGGTTTTACGCAAGAAAGCCCCGATCGCCATTTTCGCCATCAGGGCTTTTTTGCACTAAACGGTTCTCAGTTGTCTACACTGGCCCTCTTGCACAAAAGCATTTGCGCAAGAGGGCTCTTTCCCGAATGGGAGAGTCATTCTATTTGCAGAAGAACACTGACAATCTTACATTAGATCGTCAGTATTCTTGCACAAATTCAAAGTGGCCAGTGTAGACAGCTGGCATGTTTTTCCACAAAAGCAGACGCATTTGCGGAAAAGCTAGCCAGTCTAGACGCAGCCCAAGTGTTTCTGAGCAACATTTCATGCTCTGCATAAACATAAAATATCTGCAAAACAAAATGGAAGACACAGTCTATAGCAAGAGCTAATGAAAGTGGTCACCCTCCCGCCAGCTATACATCAGTGAATGAAACTGCATGGAGAAACATCATTTTAGCCTCTTGAAATTTGATCAGATAAATATAATAAATCTTTGCCCTCAGCTTTACTCCACTTTCTTCTTAAATAATAAAAACAGATGTTCAGTCTCTTGACATGAAATGACTATAAATAACTTCATCCCTATTTCATAGTGGCTGTGTCTACACTGCACCCCTTTTCCGGAAAAGGGATGCAGATTAGACACATTGGAATAGCAAAATCCGCAGGGGATTTTAAATATCCCCCGCGGGATTTGCATTTACATGGCTGCCGCTTTTTTCCGGCTTGGGGATAAGCCGGAGAAAAGCGCCAGTCTAGACGTGATTCTCCGGAAAATAAGCCCTTTTCCGGAGGATCTCTTATTCCTACTTTCAAGTAGGCAAGCTTTCAAGTAGGAATAAGAGATCCTCCGGAAAAGGGCTTATTTTCCGGAGAATCACGTCTAGATTGGCGCTTTTCTCCGGCTTAGCCCCAAGCCGGAAAAAAGCGGCAGCCATGTAAATGCAAATCCCGTGGGGGATTTTGCTATTCCGACGTGCTACATTAGCATCCCTTTTCCAGAAGGGATGCCAGTGTAGATGTAGCCACTGTGTCTGAAACACTTGAAGAAATGATTTTCCGAACTGTAGATTATAAAGTGCATTTTCAAACTCCCTTTTACATATGTACTGCAGACTAAGGCAAGCTTCTGCCCAGGGCACTGCTGGGTGTTGTACCACTAACATTGTGGCTCAAACTTTTGGGATACATATCACCAGAGTCAGCCAGAATTCCTTCTGAGCTTCTCTAGGAGAACACAGCAGAGTGGTAGCTCTGGTACCATTTAAGAGTCTGCAGTGGGCTCACCGTTCCGTGCCCATCTAGTCCGTTAGCAAGGGCATAGGAGTATGGGACAACTACTGTAGTACCAAATGGGATGCTGCTAAGGTTCAGGGACCATGCTCCCTGATGAGATCTTTGTAAGGCCTCTTACCTAGGCAGGGCATTAGCATTTCAGAGTTGTGCTTCCTGCTTCAGGAAATGATTCTATAATAACTATTGAATAAGTAGACAATAAAAGACAAATCTTAGAAAAAGAGAAATCATCCAGAATGGGAATGACAAGAGTTCCATTGATCTCAATGGGGATGAGATTTCCACCGGGGGGAATGTTTTGGCAGCTGTCAAATTTTGGTATTGACTTGCAGACACAATGGTGTAATACTATGTTTTTGTCTAGTATAGTAATATTTTTGTATACTGTTATGAAGACAGTGATAAAACACAAACAGCTCTATGTTAATTTGAATTAAAGTATCTGTTTAGAAAGTGGTACTTCAACAGGGAGGGAAAGTCAGAATGGCTGTATATTATAATAACATCGGTAACAATTTACATAAGAAGAAGGGGTTTGCAAAGGATTTTAATTCACAGGATGTGAACTAAGAAAATCTAGTTTCTAGTCCCAACTTCACTATTGATTTCCTGCTTAACCTTAATCCAATAATCTACTCCCTGTGGGTATGTCTACACAGCAAGTTATTTCAGAATAATGGCCGTTATTCTGAAATAACAATGCGAGCATCTACACAGCAATGCTGTTATTTTGAAATAATTTCGAAATAACAAACGCTTATTCCAGCTTCTATAAACCTCATTCTATGATGAATAACACCTATTCCAAAATAGCAATTTGGAAATAAGGCGTGTGTAGACGCTCCATTTCTGCTATTTTGAAATAGCCCCTCACCAGAGCCATTCTAAGTTATTCCTCCTGGAGCTCCAAATGGAGGTAGCACATTTACATTAGGGAAGCCTGACTCAGACTAATTTTGAGGCTTCCCTGCAGTGTAGATGTGTTATTTTGAAATAAGCCATTTTGGAATAATTATTCTGGAATAGCTTATTCTGAAAAACTGTGCAGTGTAGACATATATGAGTCTCCATCTCCTTATGCAAGAGTAGGACTATTTACATATTTCCTTGTGGAGCTGTGAGGTTAAATTCAAAAATACTTTAAAGAGACACTTTTTTTATTTTGTATTTGGTGCTACCATAATGCTCATACCACGTAATTCCTGATACCATACATGTTTTGGAGTGGTTTCTGAAATGCAAGTTATTAACATACAAAGTTGCCATTTCAAGTATGTCTTTGAAAACACTATATTACCTAATTTATAATACTCTCTAGGAATGATCTCTGTGCAAGGTTTGCTGAACACAAACTGTGTTTGGATACACTTCTATGTGAAAATGCAGGAACATGTTATATACAGTGAAGAACTAGCTATGAATCTGTTCTTCTTTGACACAGGACTGGAGAAACTTGCTCAGAAAGGAAAATCTTTGTCATCTCTAGCAGTAATAACAGGAATTTCATTATTTTTGATCGTATCTTTGTCCCTTGTATTCTTATGGAAAAGATATCAGCCACATAAAGGTAGGTGAAACTTAAACACACCTCAGATGTACTTTCTGGACTTTATTACAAAAAGGTTGATTTTTCCTTTATCTTTTCTTTTCAGTTATACATCGGAAGTTGCAGAGCAGGTAGCAAAATAAATAATTTTGTTTGGCTTTGTGTCTTTCCCAAAAAGAGGGGATTTTTTTGGTCTCAGATTTCTTTTCTTAGCCCATGAGATCAAACTGAAAGTCATGTTTATGTTTTCTAGGCCTGGAGCAGATTACAGAAAAGCACAGACATTCTCAGGTAAAGCTAAAGAATGAAATGGAAGCATACGGTCAAATTCCAGTCCCAGCACCTGAAGAACAGAGCTGGGCCTCTTCATGGAGCCATGGGGAATATATTAGACCATTTCAGTGCTCAGATACTTGAGACATGAAATAAATACTGAGCTAGATTAGCTAAAGTAGATTGAATCTTCTTTCCACATACCAGGGAGCAGCAATAGAGATGCTTAACTAGCTCAGTGGGAATGCTCTATCCTAGGGAACTTGTCTCTCAGCATAGGGAGAATATGAAAAGTGGGGCAATGAAGGGGTATGGCCAAAGCTGCACTGCTCTCCAGTTATCTTCAACAGTGTAATAGCCCATTAAATGCAGCTAAGCACGACTTTAAACATTAGTGTCGCTGCTTTAAGATCTGAGAAGTGAGCCAGCTCTACCAGGGGGTGGAACAGTAGAACAAAGCAGCACTTTCAAAGTCTCTGAATCCACGGAAATTCAAACGTAGGCCAAATGAGTTTGTCCATCTCTTATTAAGTGTTCTTGTTTGCATTTATGTTACCTATTAATACCATGTTTTTATTTTAGGGCATGAAAGTGCTCTGGATGACTTTGGAATCTATGAATTTGTTGCTTTTCCAGATCCTACTGGTGTTCCTACAGTATGTGTTTTAACAATAAATCAGTAGCCAACCAATTAAGGCTCTATTTTATTTACTACAATGTTTGTAGTATTTACATGAGAATCTCTATGTGGCTTGCTGAAAGGGCCACAAGAGATGCCTCTATGTAGATATTTCAATGTCTTATTCAGCAGCACTTTTACTCACTCTGCTTATTTATGTGTTAAGCAACAGGGACATGCCAGATTCACAAAGGTGCACCAAGGTTAGTTCTGTTAAGCAATCCTACATTTAGGCTACATCTGTCCTACAGCATTCACAGCAGCACTGATGAAGATTCACCACTATAGCACTTGTGGTGGAGATGCTCTAAGCCAGTGGGAGAGAGCTCTCCTATCAGCTTAATATAGCTGACACCTTTATGGAGGCACTTAGGTCAATGAAATGTATATTGCTCAGGGGTGTGGATGGTTCATACCCCCGAGTGACCTGTAGCATAGATAAGGAAAACAGGTGTTTTTAACATTAGCTAACACTAGCATTACAGAAGGAAGAAGAGCATCTCTGAGTGCTCAAGAAGGGGGGGGGGAGGAATAGCTCAGTGGTTTGAACATCGTGAGGGTTGTGAGTTTAATCCTTAATGGGGCCACTTAGTGATCTGGGGCAAATCTGTCAGGGATGGTACTTGGTCCTGCCGTGAGGGCAGGGGACTGGACTCCATAACCTTTCAAGGTCCCTTCCAGTTCTTTGAGATAAGTATATCTCCATATTAAGTAAGATATCAGGAGTCAGCAGTTTAGAGCCCAGTTCTGCAAGGTTCTTAAAACACAAACAGACTCACTGATTTTACTAGGATTAGTCTCATCTCATAGTCGGGCACATTTCCATTAGCCAATTAAACAGGATTTTACATCCCTATCTGGTTAAACATATTGTTTAACCAGATAACCAATTAAAGGGGGGGGCAGGGTCACTTGAGGCTGGGCTAGAGTGCCCCCTCCCTCGCCACAGGTGGGAAACTGCTGCAGCCCCTGCCAGTTATCCTTAACTGGTAAGCCTCACCCATTAAGGATGAGGCTTACCAGTTGCCTGGTTAAATCTTCACAAGCCTTCCAGAGTCAAGGCCTCAGAGAGTAAAGAAAGAAAGACTGTACACCAGAGAATTAGAGGCACTGGGATGGGTTCTAGAAGACTACGTCTACATTGGCATGATCTTGCGCAAATACTCTTTAACGCAAGAGTTCTTGCGTTAAAGTGTTTGCGCAAGAGAGCGCCTACACTGGCATGTGCCTTTGCGCAAGAGATGTGCTTTTGCGCAAGAGCATCTGTGACAGTGTAGACACTCTCTTGCGCAAGAAAGCTCCGATGGCCATTTTAGCCATCGGGCTTTCTTGCACAAGAAATTCATATTGCCTGTCTACACTGGCCTCTTGCGCAAGAACAGTTGCGCAAGAGGGCTTATTTCTGAGCGGGAGCATCATAGTTCTTGCGCAAGAAGCACTGATTTCACACATTAGGACATCAGTGTTCTTATGCAAGAACTCTCCGCCAGTGTAGACAGGCAGCATGTTTTTGCACAAAAGCAGCCACTTTGGCGCAAGATCGTGCCAATGTAGATACAGCCAAACTGTAGCAACTCCACTGCAGGCACTCTGCATTTATACCAGTGTGGTTGAGATCAGTATTTAATCTCATTTCTTATGCTAGCTCGCTGCAGCTTTCCTTGGACTTAGGTAGACTGCACATTTCCATGCCTTTTTTAGTGTTGGAAGTGTGAGGGTAGTGTGTATTCTGAATTATTTCTCTAACTACTTCTGTCATTTGTCCACAGCTTTTATTCACCGGCTTATTTCTCCTTGTATTATTTGTAGCTCGGTAATGCAAAGCCCATTTTACCCTAAATGCAGTAGGTGCAGCTTAACGTTTCTTGGTTTCTAGCTGTGTTTAAGTCTGTGGAAGCCATATCATAAGTGTGATTCCCTTCCTCAAAATCAAAACTAATAAAATTGAGCAATATGAACATAATCAGAGAAGAGCATCTGTCCTAAAAGGGGGAGGGGAGGGAAGAGAGTCTTGTTAGTCTATGTTTTGTTACTGGTCCAGCTTTCCCATCTGTATTCATAGCAAAAATATTGTCTGTTACTTTTAGGTTCCAAGTCATTCTGTTTCTAGCTCTGACTTTGTCCAAGGGCAGGATTTACACAGTACAGTTTATGAAGTTATTCAGCATATTCCAGAACAACAGGAAGATCAAGAGTAAGTCCTATATGCACTAATAGGGTAACCCAAAGGCTTAAAGACAAATCCAGAAGTGATGGGCAAGATTGCATAAATTACATGTTGGTAAATCAGTGTGGGTCTAAGGGAGTGCAAGAGAATCTAATGGTATGGTAACCCTATAAAATTAAGATAACCTAAGCCATGTTGGCATACAGCCAGTACAGTAATTAAATTGCTTTTGCATGTCCACACTATGCTTCTTGTGTCAATGCTGTGTGTCCTTACCAGGAGCACTTGCACCAATCTACCTGTCAGTGGGGAGCATTGTGAGATAGCTTCTGAAAGGCGGCAGCAGCAGCGGATGTAAGCAATGCAGTGACTACACTGACACTCCATTGACCTAACTATGTCAACCTGTGCTGCTCCTCTCACAGAAGTAGGGTTGCCAAGTGTCCAATATTCACCCGGACACTCCGGTATTTTCACCTCCTGTCCAGTAAAAAATTCAGAGAATGCCAGACACCTAAAATGTCCAGTATTTTCTGATTTTTTTTCCCCAGCCAGGAAGAGAAAATGCCAGGCACCTGGCAACCCTATAAACACTCAGCGCCTGGCCTCCCCCGATCCCCTTGGCTCCCAACACCCCCAGAACCCATGTTTACCTGGTTCCACAAGGCTGCTGGCACAAAATGGCTGCCAACCAAGGGGAAGCAGCCTGGGTCTTAGTGTTCAACCGTTCCCCTGTTTCTATCTCTGCACTCAATCTTAAAGGGAACATGCTCTTTTATTTTATTTTATTTTATTTTATTTTATTTTATTTTATTTTATTTTATTTTTTGCTTAATAATTCTTGGAGTCTTTTTTTTTTGTGGTCTCCCCCTCCCATCCCCCCTTGTTTTTTTCCTTCAACAGAATTTTTTCCCGGTGTGTTTTTTTTGTTTTTGGGGGGGGGGGGGGGTTCGGTATTTTTGTTTCAACCATTTGGCAACCCTACACAGAGGTGAAGTTATAAAGTTGGTTTAGCGAGTTATATCCATGAAATTTATTTTAGAGGGTGCTCACAGAGTTAGATTGATGTAAGTTGCCTTGTATCGACCAGTCTTGGTAGCATAGACCAGAGCTAAGCAGTGTGATACACACCCGAAGAGATGTAAGTTACATTGACTCAGACTCTCACTAGGCTCTCTGCACTTTCCTTCAGAGACTCTTTTCTGAATTTTCCCCTGACTCTCACTACACTTGCTTATCTGTGAACAACTGGGGCTAAGATGTTCAAAAACAGGAATTTAAATGAATGCTCCTAAATCTAATAGTGAAGCATATGCATGAGTGGCACATTTTTACACGTGATGAGCAACCACTGAGATCAAATAACTCTCTGTTTAATCCTTGTCTTCTCTTTCAGGCCAGTCAACAAGTGTACTTGTTGACAGTACACTTGGGTGTACAATGTAGGTTGGGTTTTGCAATGTAGAAACTGGTCAGCTAAGAGCCCTGCTAACTATCCACTGGTCATTGCACAGTCACCAGGCAAAAGTGTTCCATATTCTATTAGCCAAAGGTGTGCAGTACACTAGAGTGAGACTCTCTAACTTAAGTTTTATTGAGTTGAATGCTAGGCAGGTGACACCACCTTTTTGTTTACAAATCCATTATCAAGTTTGTCTTGTTTTCTGTCAAAGCAGCTACACCCCATAAAGCTTTCTGAAATATTATAGTACAAAAAAAACTTGTGTGCTGCCATAAGTCACTTTATGTGAATATCTATATTCTTTCTCATTAGGCATATATTTGCTCTGCACAGTATATTAAGAACACATAATAACATCTTGGGTAACAACAGAAATTACAGCCCCATTAGGTTACGTTTCTGTGTTACTATTGTGTTTTCTGTCATTATGATTGAAAGGAAGAAAAGAAGCAAATATTTGTAAATCTGTTAATTAATTGATTGCGATCTCAGTGTTTGTGGCTATAGTGGCATAGAATACTTATAAGATTAAAGGTTCACATTTTCAAAACTGTGCATCTCTTTTACGCACTCAAACATGGAGCAATGTGTGCAAATATTTAAAAAAAGGAAACTGATAGTGAAATAACATTTACTTATGTTTGCCTAGAGCCATTCATTTCACATCTTAGGTATCCATTTTTGAAAATATAACTTACATATGTAAAATACCAAATTAATTCTGTGCATGTCCAGGATGATCAGTGATTGTATCTTTGTCTTGTTATTCTTCCTCTTGCCATTCCCCCTTCCCAACACACTCACACATGCACTCTTTAATGCTCCCTCTGAAAAAGGGAGAGTATATTCTTGTTACAAGATGACATGTCTTGAACTTTATGGAAGTATGTATTTGGATCCAAGCTCCACAGCTAAAACTCTTCTTTTAGTTAGGAGGACAAATATGGACAACCATATTTTGATTGCTCTATCTTATCGTTACAAGATTTAGAAAACAAACTTCTCAAATAAAACATCAGCACAAAAGGAAAATTTCCATTTTGCAAGGCAAGAATTAATATGCCTAGTGGAACTCATGTCCAGACTGGTTAGTCATATTAGAAATAATACTGATTCAAGCTTTCAAATTCCTAACCTCCGGCCAAATGATCCTTAAAGCCATGCATAAATCACGGAAAATAGTCCCATGTTTGTCCTTACAACCAAATGCTTCAGAGCTCAGTATAAGCAAGAGGCTGAAACATCAAAATACAAAAGGGCTTTGGGAAAGTAATTTCAGATTCCTGCAGCTCAAATGAGCAGTATAAGCAGTGATTGCCAAAACTGAGTTCCACTCTACTGGTGATCAGCCATATGCAGTCAGTTGTGTTTCTGTGGAGTGACAGATGGAATGACACTGAACTGGCATGTAGTGGGGAACAAACTACACCAACTACTCAGTGCAGAAATATCCAATTTCAATATAATAGCCAAAGAGGTTAAATTAAAGCAGGGGTGGGGAACTCAGGATGTTAAGTACCGTGTAATTGACTAATCGAATAGTTGATGCATTTTTGCATTGATTATTCGATTTGTCAATAGGGCAGCACTACCCCTTTGAAATGACGCAATGGTGTTTTAAAGGGATAATGCCACACAGAGCCCAGAGTCAGCTGGGAAGTCCCCAGCTGATCCCAGGCTCAACGCAGCACTGACCCTTTGAAATGCCTCCTGCAGCATTCAAAGCAGCAGCACTGCAGGAAGCTAGAGTCAGCTGGGAAGTCCCCAGCTGATCCCAGGCTCAACGCAGCACTGACCCTTTGAAATGCCTCCTGCAGCATTCAAAGCAGCAGCACTGCAGGAAGCTATTAACTCCGGGCTCTGTGTGGCACTGCCACTTTGAAGTACTCCCTCTCCTCCCCTGCCTTGTTGCCTCTATTTGATAGATACTGTCAACTATCCTTGTTGCCTCCATCTCATAGATCCTGTAGACTATCCTTGTTGCCTCTATCTGATAGATCCTGTCGACTACCCAATTAGTATTTGTTGTCTAATCCTTAACATCCCTATGGGGAACCTCAGGCCCGGGGGCAGGATGCAGCCCTCACTTGCCTGGATCCAGCCCCCAAGACTCAGGGCCCACCCCCCAGCATTGGGGAGCCCACGCTGGTGCTCCAGTCCCCCTGCTACTCCTCTGGAGGCTGGAGCACAGAAAATCTACTAAGCTGGGCCCCCTAGGCTCTGGCGTATGAGGGGAATGTGGGGAGTGTCTTTCTTCTTCTCAGTTGGGGGCCATAGTGTGGGTTGTTTGGGTTTTTTACATCTCACTTGTGTGCTGCCTCCAACTGATTTTTTCTGTGTGTCAGTGGCCCCCATCCCAAAAAAGGTTTCCTACTCCTGAATTAAAGGAACCCAAAGAGGCTCTTAAGTAACAAAGATGTTTTACTCAGGCTACATCTTCATGACAGTGCTTACAGTAGTAGCACAACAGCACTGATGCAGGTGCACTGCTGTAGCTTCCCAACAGAGGGCATTATGGTTTGATCGTATGTGTATGTATAGGATAATGTCTAAGAACTTGGCGTACATCTATACTTGGAGATGGGCGTGTGATTTGCAGCTCGAGGAGACATACCCATGCTAGTTCTCACTAAGCCAGTGCATTAAACATAGAATGTAGCCATGGGAGGGTGAGCAGCAGATGGCCCCACCACTCAAGTATGTATTGAGGATCTCAGATGGACATGCAGGGTGAGTACCTTCTTCTGCAGCTCTTGCTGCCATGGCTACATACTGTTCTTAGTGCATGACACCTAGGGCAAGTATGTTTCATCAAGCAGGAATCATGCTCCTAGCTCCAAGCGTAAACATACCCTACAAGGCGTTAACTTGTAGAAACTGCTTGATGATAGAGGACAGTATAGATGGAGAAAGGTACACAGGCTCTCTCTTTCATGCTTGAACACTTACCACCTTGTCTTGACCTTCACTCTGATAGTAGTGGTCTTCATTTGCTTCACCTTACAACATTTCCCTTTCATGTCTTCAAGCAAAAGCAAAGCCAGGTGTGAAGAATGATGGGAACTCCAACAATCTGGTTCAATCAAGTTGAAACAATCTTTAAGTTAACAATAGTCAAGAAAATTCCAGCTAAAAGTATCAATTTCTTCAAGGTACAAGGCATTGCATATCACATACTTTGCAGAACCCCCAAAAGAAGCAAAGTAAAAACATAAGACCCAGGCCCCTTGGGTAAACAACCACAGAACACAATTGGACGGCAGTGATGTGTGGGGAGCCTAAGGGAGTCAATAAAAAGCGTGGTCTAATAAAATACAACCCGTCATCCAAACTTCTTCTGCAACCTTCAGTATTGCTTAAATTGAACTTGAATATCTATGTCCAACTGTCAGATCATTCTGCTGCACAGAAAACTGGGAAATTGACAATCACAGGCTAAAGTTTGCAAAGCCTTCAACTGGTGAAAGTTCACAGCTCATATCTCATCTAAGAGGAGTCAGCTGTTAAAACTGTGATGCAATCTTCATCTGAAAAGAAGAAAAAACACAAATTTACTCCAACTCTGTTTCTCAAATACCCTCACATACATCAGGTATTATTTTTCCACAAATTTCTGCTGCACTGACCGCCAAAGAGCAATGGAGATCCGTATGTTTCCCAATCATTTTGACACTAGGCTTGTGAGAGCTTGCACCGACTCAGCATGTCCCTGCTATTCATCAACAGTTGCCAGAGTACATTATTACTGATAATGAATGAACATGCTGAAACATTTTCAGTGTCTAAAAAAGAGACATCACCATTCACTACCATGATTATGTGTTATATTAACTGGAGTGGCATAATTTCCCCATAGCCCAGGCCTGCCTCACCATGGCACATACCTTTTTGAAATGAGACCTCTGATTCAAGGTTGGTTGACTGTTCTGTTACTCATGTTCATTGCCTCAGTCAGTTCCTCTCTCTGTGCAAGCAAAATGAAAATCGCCAACTTTGTAATTTACACCATGCCACAGTGAGAACTGCATATTGGGTATACAAGGGTAGAAAATTACCTTGAAAAATAGTAACTGTGTGGGAGTTCCTGTGAAAATGATCATGCACTGAGGACCCAGTAAAAATGTCACTAGAAGTTCTCCCTTTCCAAAAGTATTTTTTCTGCCTGTAGCCTTCTTTCCTTGAGCTGATGGCCAGTGCTCCTTGCTAAGATGCTAGTAACCCACAGGTGCTCAGGCTATGTGTGGCTTATAGGTGATAGATGATATGTATGTAGCATATAAAGTGCACATTTGTATGTCTGGAAGAACTTTTTTGACTCTTTCAATGAAGGGATAGTTTAAGATAGCACCAAAACTATTCTTTCATTACTAAGAAGCGTGGCTGCATTAGTGTTACACTGTTTAGCATACAATAATGTCTGATAGGAATGCCATCAGAACTTTACTCTTCTAAATTAATACCATAGGTTAATCACACCCACAAAAGGGTGCGTCTAGACTGGCGAGATTTTGCGCAAAAGCAAGTGCTTTTGCGCAAAAACTTGACAGCTGTCTACACTGGCCGCTTGAATTTGGGCAAGAGCACAGACTTAGTAATGTACAAAATCAGTGCTTCTTGCGCAAATACTTTCATGCTCCTGCTTGGGAAAAAGCCCTCTTGTGCAAGAGTACTTTCTCAAGAGGGCCAGTGTAGACAGGGAAGAACTGTTTTGCGCAAAAAAGCCCCAATGGCTAAAATGGTGATTGGGGCTTTCTTGCACAAAATCGTGTCTAGACTGGCCACAGATGCTTTTGCGCAAAAGCACTTTTTGCGCAAAAGCGTCCGTGTCAATCTAGACACGCTTTTGCGGAAATACTTTTAACGGAAAAACTTTTCCATTAAAAGTATTTCTGCAAAATCATGCCAGTCTAGACGCAGCCTAAAGGTTTGAGCAATGCCAGTTCCTGAACTTGTGAGAACAGTGCCTCAGTGTCAACTGATTACTATCATTTACTACTACAATACCATTCTGGAACGTACTACACTATTTTCATTTGAACCACCGCTATTTTGATTCCTCATAGAACACCTACAGCATAGTGCACTGTGTTAGTCCAATAGTAGTAGTAATGAGAATCATACTGCTAACCCCCAGCTCATCATGTTGAAAATTTGTATTTGTCAGTTGCATAAAAGTTAAAGATCCATTTAATTTCTGTTTTGAGTGTGTTTACTATAGTGTTTTTAAAACAAAAGGAATGCCACGTTACAAACAGTAACTATCAATGTCCTGTTCTTTTCTAGAGGTACATGAAGATGCAAGCACAGCAAATCAAGATATCCTAATACATATGATCTATATGTTTACCGGAAATGGAAAGCAAATGGCAACAGCTTTCAAAATGGCAAAGGACTAAGCTACAATCTCTGAAATAATACTTTCTTAAACTAGTAATTCTTCTTTGTTGCTCCCAATACTGGATTTGCTTGTTGATTTTATTTAACTTATTGTTTCTTAAAACAGGTGGGACTTTTTAATTTTTGACAGTTTTTTGCATTCTGAACTGCAAAAAGAAACCAGAGCCAAAAGAAAATACAGATAAGAAATACCGTATCTTTAAATCTGGCACAACTGCCTAGGAGTCAGACAAGGAGACTTTCCATGCTAGTTACACTGTAACATGGATAGGAAATTGCATTAAACTTTCCATTTGCATGGACTTTTAAAAGAGAAGATGATGCACATTGGCTGAAATAAGCAATGCAATGTTGTTAGATTGAAAAATAAGTCCTGTTTTTTTAAAAAAAACTTCTAAGTTTTTCTTGTAACTTTAACTTACCAATTCACAAAAACTAATTTGTCATTTAGTTAAAAATGTGTACATGTATATTATTCAGAATGTTTTGTTTTGATTGTGTTTCCTTTGCATGCAAGCTGTTTCCCCATTTTTATCCTTTAAGGCCCAGATCCACAATAAGTTTTTAGGCTTTGTGATTCTCAGTGTTGCAACACCTAGGCTGTGTCTACACTGGCACCCTTTTTCGTAAAAGGGATGCTAATGAGGCACTTTGGAATTGCAAATGCCACGGGGGATTTAAATATCCCCCGTGGCATTTGCATGAACATGGCTGCCGCTTATTTCTGGCTCGGGGTTTTGCTGGAGAAAAGCACTAGTCTAGACGGGATCTTGCAGAAAATAAATCCTTTTCCGGAAGATCCCTTATTCCTACTTTCCTACTGCAATCCTTTCAAGTAGGAATAAGGGATCTTCCGGAAAGGGGGTTATTTTCCGCAAGATCCCATCTAGACTGGCGCTTTTCTCCGGCAAAACTCCGAGCCGGAAAAAAGCGGCAGCCATGTTCATGCAAATGCCGCAGGGCTTATTTAAATCCCCCCCGGCATTTGCAATTCCGAAGTGTCTCATTAGCATCCCTTTTACGGAAAAGGGTGCCAGTGTAGACACAGCCCTAATGTTTAGGGGCCTAGAGAATTACAGGGACAACACTGCAATCCAAAAAGCTCCCTCTACATGGAATGGGGAGAACTTTGAACACCTTAAAGTATGAGCCACAAAACTCAAGACACTGGGCAGCTCTCTGCTAAGGCTAGCTAATGAGAGATGGTGATTAGAGGCTTGTGTGCTAAGCCCCACCCCTCTCAAAGAGATAGAAACCTAGATAGAAAGTGTGGCCTTCAGGAGGCACTGTCTCTGCTACCAGAGCCTGGCATAGCTGTTGTAGTCTGTATCTGCAAAAACAATGAGGAGTCCAGCTTAAATTCTAGCTGTTGCCTCTTAATCCACTTTTCTCAAATGTAGAACAGGGGCAAATTCCCATATGAGCAGAAAGCTTCAGGGCTGGGCAGTGGGTAGTTTCTCAGGGGAGGGCCAGAGAAAGATGAATCCAGATAGCAATGGATGCTCATCTCTGCTCAGCCCCACAACATCCTACCCCACAAGGTGTAGCAGACTGGCACTAGCTCCACTGCCAAGAAACTCTCCATGGGCACAAGCTCAGAGATATTATTTAACCCTTAGGAAAGCCAGCAAGTCAGTGGCAGATCTTCAAATAAGAATGCAGGTCACCTAATTCCAACTCCCCTGCCTTAGCCATGCTGTCTCAGTTCAGTTCAAAGTCATAGATTAATTTAATATAATTGACAACCTCTGAAGTCAATTTAAAACCTAGTACCCAAGTGTTAGCTATAACCATTCCCAAAGTGTTTGCTTTCTTGATTTTCTCTTTCCATATAAAATTAACCCCCTATAAACTTATGACATCTATTAATGTCTTTAAGTGAATAAGTCTACGTTAGATAAATTTTAGGCCTTTGTAATATACCTCTATTAAATTTTAATAAAATAATTTCATATATACTATGCATTCTGTAATGGCTCTGTGTGTATACGCCCATGTGTGTGATTGCTCAACCCTTTCAAAGAAAATCAGCAGCAGATCAGTTTTGTGGAAACACTGGCTACTGGTAAGAATAAGTGTAGGATACTTGGGCTGTGTCTAGACTGGCAAGTTTTTCCGGAAAATCATCTGCTTTTCTGGAAAAACTTGCCAGCTGTCTACACTGTCCGCTTGAATTTCCGGGAAAGCACTGACGATCTCATGTAAAATCATCAGTGCTTTTCCAGAAAAACTATGCTGCTCCCGTTTGGGCAAAAGTCTTTTTCCGGAAGACTTTTGCGCAAAAGGGCCAGTGTAGACAGCATAGAACTGTTTTCCGCAAAAAAGCTCCGATCATGAAAAAGGCGATCGGGGCTTTTTTGTGGAAAACTGCGTCTAGATTGGCCACGGACGCTTTTCCGCAAAAAGTGCTTTTGCGGAAAAGCATCCTGCCAATCTAGACGTGCTTTTCTGAAAATGCTTTTAACGGAAAACTTTTCCGTTAGAAGCATTTTCGGAAATTCATGCCAGTGTAGATGTAGCCTTGAAGTATAAGCACTGATGTGTATAATTTGTTCCAATTTGGAGAGCCATTTGGAGGAGCAGACCTGAGCATTTTTTTATTTCATATGAGCATCTTCTCTTCCTTTAGTGGCAAGAACAAAATGAAATCATGCTGAAAATAAAGGGAATAATACATTCATTCTTGTTCCCTCCTTGCTTCTCACAGACACTTCTGTGCCACTGTGTCTTTCATTGAAAAAAGAAGACTGTTGTCTACCATTTTTGATTCTACCTATATTGGCTGGTCTGTAAAATACAAAAACTCAAACTCAATTCTCTGGAAGCCAAGTTGCACACATGATACCTCAGAACTCTACCAGCATTATGAGAGCAGAGGTCTGGCTGGAAAACCCAGCCATGAGAGGAGGATGGAGACACAAGACATCCATATCAAGAGGCACTGTACTGTGTTAGCCTTTACAAAACAACATGTTCATTTGATCAAAAATGAAAATTTTTCACAGGAAAAAAAAGTTTTTCATTCAGTTGAAAACCCAATTTTCTTTAAAAAGCCAGTTGAGACAGAAAAATGTTGGCCAGCCCTATTTTGAAAAGGGGCAATATCATTGAGGGGAGGACAAGACTGCAGACTTTATTATCAGTTATTCATTCAAGGCTAGATTTTCAAGAGAGCTCAGCTCATTGGTTGCTCAGCACTTAGGAGAATCAGGTCTTTGTCTTGGTGTTTAAATAGGAGCTGAATTCTTCTAAAAATTTGCCCCATTTGCATGTGCTGAGCTGTTTCGAAACCCTGGCCCTTAATATCTGTATGTGTTTATGTCACTTGATAATGTAGTTTGGACTATAATTGGAAAGAAGTTGGGGAAAAATTGACATGACTTACTATGGAGCAAATTCTGAGCAAACAGACAGAAGGAAGTTCTGCGGGAATCTAGGGTGGGGACTCCATCTGCTCCACCTCCATCCTACTGCCATCACCGCTAGCTAGGCAACAGAGTAGCTCTGGTGGCCACTATACAGCTACTACTACAAGCTAGGAGCATCATTACCATCTTCAGCAGCTGTACCTTCCATTTTGGGACATGGCCCAGCAATCCCAATCATACTGAATGTATGACTGGCCCTCCTCACCAACCAAATTACTCCTCCATGGAGCCCCCTGGAGCACAGATCTAGTGAGCACAAGAATTGCATGCTCTCTTGCAAAGGTGCATCCTATTCTACTGCCTCTCTCCTGCACAGAGCAACCACACTCATTTTGCTACTTAGCCAGATCTGTCAGCTAGCGGTAGGAAGAAAGGATTTGCTTCTGTCTTTAACATGTGCATTATATTTTCCAATAATTAAAAATCTAGATGTAATTCAAGAGAAAGTATGTTAAATTTCCAAAAAAGGAGTAACATTCTGACTGCTGAATAACGAAAGCGTAACACACACAAACACATCCACACCCATACACACACACACATTGCTAAAGTACAATTGATGTCATCCATGTTATGGTCAACAGTAGCCCAACAATTAGGAATGGTCTGGATGAACAGTTGTGCATAGAAATCACTCTCCATTAAGCAGTGTATGGTATACACATAAATATGTTAACTGTTTGCCATTACTCCTATATTACTCTCTGAAGTGCCTATGCCTCAGTCCTTTTCCAGCTCCTGTTACATAAAACAGGCAGAAGACTTTTTTCAGCAGGGACAGAAGAGACCTGACCAACTTCTATGCCATTTTCCACTACAAGTTTTCTGTCATGTGCCTATGCACACTACCATCCATAATCTGGCACATGTGAACTATCATGTACAGTAATATATTACATAGAATACCATTCCTCATTTATTAGCAAAATGTACACTTAGAAAACAATTCAAAAATAAAACAAAATAGAAAACATTTAATTCTCCTTTAGGAAAAGAAAAAAAAAGTCTCTCAAGAATTTGACACTGCCCAGCAGAATAAAACATCCAGCAAAAAGACAGATGACACTACTACCCATGCAAAAAAAAGTGTGTGTGTTTTCTATAGGTTTAGAAAGCAAATACTCTATATACAATCCACCTTCTGCTTATATTATATTATTCTGATATCTTGTCTTTTGCTGTATCTGTTAATTCCTGGTTATTAAAAGACACACACACCGATCTAAAATCCCATTCAAACTCTGTATATTCTTTGCCCTCCTGTGATAATTTAAGCAAAGATTCAGTTACTTTTGCTGCAAAAATCAGATATATGTGTGAAACCAGCTCTGACACACTGGAATTATAAAGACTTGTTAATGGATGAGAAGAAAATGCTCTTGTCGTTAGGGATGTGAACGACTAGTCAACACACAAGTTGACTAGTTGCATTCCTCCCACCCCCCAGCTGCCTCTCTCTGATAGAGGCAGCAAGGTGGGGGAAACAGGTGAGGGTGTTTGAAAGTGCCAGGGCTGCCTGGAGCCCAGAGTCAGCTGGGGACTCTCCCGCTCACCCTGGGCT